AAAGGCTTATTCTGTAAAGTTGTAATTCTTAAACAACTGAATTTTATGGAAATACAATGTAAAAACCTGCAAAAAAAGTTTTAGAATACAGCTCAGAAATTAGTTTAAACATAGTCGTACCTCATTTATTACAGCTAATCAATTTTATTTATTATTCACTGGAGTGTTAAAATTGCAAAATTTAAAATAAATAAAAAAAAAAGTACTATTCTATATATCCCATTCTACTGGTTCGATTGACGAAATTCAAATTGCGTTTTTCATGACTCAAAAGGGCGACTTAGGATATGTATTGAATTTATATATAATGTTGTTCTAATATAGGTATTTTGATATAAAAATCGGACTTTTTCTGAAATAACATGCCAATTTTTTTCCATATTTCAATTTTACAACTCAAATTACGAGTCAACTACCAAGTTTTGTAAAAATCGCACAAGCAGTTTTTAAAAAATTAGCTCTCAAAATTTTAGCTCCTCAGTGTTGATTGAGTTTGGTATATATTTATTAATCTCTCTTTTTTTATTAAATTAATTTGATTCTTCCTTTCACATTTCGAAATTCAGGTTCGTTCCAAATAAAATTCACTCATTTTTAAATAATTTTTACAAATTTTTCAAAAATAATTTTGAATTATAATCTATAAAAATTTTACCATCATCTTAAAGTCTTAAAGTAGTTGTATTTCTAAGTATTTCTGCAAAAAATTATAGTTTTCCGAAGATATACATGAATTTATATATTGGCGAGTTTTGAAATTTTGCATATTTGTAGAAAGTGGTAAAACATCAACTATGGTTTAGACACTGCTAAAATTATTTGTTAGTTTTAAATTTAAGTTAGAGCAATGCGATTTTTTTTCCCGCTCATGCACAATGTAAAAAGATAGAAATGAGGTGTCTTTTTTTCCACTCTAGCATAATGGAAGGGAAAGGAAAATTAGTTGCCATATATTAAGAAGTTCGCCGAGTGAATTATTCTTGTCACAAACTGAAAATATTGCATTAAGATAAATTTTTGAATTTCTCTGTAAATTTCACACCAAATTTTACAAAATTTAATATCTAGGCATAATTTTAGTCGTAGAATCGAAATATGGAAAAAAATTGGTATGTTATATCATAAAACGCCGGATTTCAAAATACCTATGTGTCAAAATACCTATGTTAGAACAATGCTGTATATAAATCTAATATATATCTTAAATCTCTCTTTTGAGACATGAAAAATGCAATTTGAATTTTGTCAATCGGCCCAGTAGAATGAGAAATATAGAACTGTCCTTCCCTCTTTTTTCCTCCACAGTGTACATTGGGAAACAATAGCACAAAAAAATTACAAAGGATTTCTCAAAAAGGTAAGAATTCCCCCCCCTTTTTTTTCTTTTTCTTAAATAGCTCTTTGCTTTTCGTGCATTAAATTGGTGAAAAATTAGTTCCCAACAATTTTGCAGTTTTTTGGTGGGGCTTTGGATGATCAGAAAGTATCATTGCTCTTTATTCAAAGAAAGAAGCAAATTATTTATTTTTCCTATTTTTTTAATTCTTAGTGATGAATTCTTTTTTAATGTATGAAATTGTAAATTATTTTTTAATGTATGAAATTGTAAATTATTTTTTAACAGCTGTAATTTCTTTTGTTTTCTTTCTTTTATTATTAAGTTCTCATATTGCAAGTTTATTATTATTTGTAGTACTTTTTGATTATCTACATCCCTACTAAAAAGTCACAAACTCGTTGTCAGCTAATTGTTTGCCAAACTGTTTATAAAAGGCAGCAGTCATTTTCAGAACAGTGACACATTAAAAATTCCATACAAGAGCAATCAATCAATCAAAAGCAAAAAAGAAAGAAATATCAGTGATAAAACACATACTCTTTTCTAGAAATCCTGCTTTTTCCACTCCCAGTCTACACAATGATCTGTTTTTGCCGTAGAAACATAAGAGCATGAAACAAACTCAGCATGAAAACTGCATGTACTGTGTGCATATTTGGGTTGCCATGCAATGATTTTGGCAATATTTTTCATTGTTTCATGAATAATTTTTGGTAAATTTTTGGCGGGATGGATTGTAAGGGGCTGCAGATCATCTGAATGTGTTTTATTTCTTTATAAAAATATTTTATTTAAAATAAATTTCTTCCCCTTTTCCTCACTAGTAGCTCATTTGGCATCGTTTGTTCTCTGAAAATAAGAATTAATCTGTATTATTATTAGTTCTCTAAAATAACACATTTGAACTGAAAAATTAAATACAGTACAAAGTTCGAAATCTGGACTTGTCAGGGCTTCAGTGATTCTGGATTTGGGATTTTTTCAGATATTAGATCATCTTTAAATCTAGTAAGATGGCATGTAAAAATTATAAAATTAAAAATATGAAATAATGAAGTATTTATGAACTAAAGGGTATCAAAATTTACAGAAGAAGAAAAAAAAAAAAAAAAAAGCTTAATATTTATTTGTTTACCTTATTAAACATTTCTTTCAATGTAAGTTGATTAAGTTGCTTCGTTTTTTGTGACAATGCTTTCTCTTCAATTCTGTAGACAGACATAATCTCTTTGTTTAGTTACATTGTTGAAGTCCTGTAACTGCTAATTTTCGAGAATTCCGACTAACTTGTCAATTAAAATTTTCTCGTTTTCAGTACCTTCTCTGTCACTTTCTTCACTATCGGTAGCGGTATTATCTGGATCTAGAACCATACTACAGATTTCGCCATTCATTGATTGATGATTGAGGAAGCATTGTCATTACAATGAAAAACTTCTTTTTCTTCTAAAAACCATTGATTGGAAAATTTCACCTTTGTTTTGCGATCCATTAAATTTTCTCTTGCTTCTATCATTCACTGAAACAATTAAGCCTGAATTGTATTACTAGTTTAATTATTTATTATACTTATGTCTATTTCTTGCACATGCTTAAGGCGTATCAGAGTTATGAATAAATAAATTCCCACATATACTTAAGCCTTATTGAGGGCTGGCGCTAGCTAGCTATCTTACTGCCTGATGCATTCTAAATTCTGCGACTTGGTGCGGCTATACAAGCCTGGCACTGGTTCTGGGTTTATATGAATAAACAAATCGGTTATTCTTGATTCAAATAACCCTAAATATAATCTTTGGGTCTATAATTATCATCATCAAAATCTATTTTTAGCATATGGAAAGAAATTTTTGGAAAATTTTTTCTCGTCAACATTTTTAGTGCATTTAACTTAAATCTGTAATCATCGCCAAGCGTAAAGTAAACATACAAGGTTACCATACTCCTTTATTATTCAATTACTAACATAAAAAAATTGTTTAGGCTTCGCTACATGAGTCATTACTCAAGTTGTCATGTTTTGATAAACACGTGGTGATGAAAGAAAAGTATAATAACTAATGATTTGCCCAGGTTGGCTTCAGATCAACGATGTATCTATGTGGAATATTTCGATTTGAGATGTGTGCCAAGCAGATATGCAGCAACGGAGCCAAATTACTAGTCATACAAATTTATGCTAAAATGATTGTTTCTTCAACAACTAGGTATTTTATTTAGTGTTAAAGTGAAATCAAGAATGGGGACTCGGTGGATGTTTATTATGTGCAGAGGGGAGGGGAATCAATTGCGCATGCATTATGCCTACAAGAAAAACGTTGTTGGTGGTTTTGAGGTCTGGATTTTATATCATTCCGGATAGTAGACGTCCGGATTTCAGACTTTGTACTGTACTAGTGTATCATAAAGTCAAAATAAAACTCATCAAATAATCACAGTGACATTTTTTTTTGAAGAAACTTCCATGTATACTGAGCTATTGGAGCTATTTTTTTAAAGGGAGATGATAATATATTGAAATTATTTAAGGCTGTTTGAGATATATAATTTATAATACAAACCTGTAAAAGTTTAATTTTTTTGTAATGCCATATTAAAAAAATGGCATTCATTTTATTATATCAGAAATAAACAATGACAGGAAATGATAGTAGACGTAAGTTACTGTAATATAATAGTGTTCAGCCTATTAATTGTTGGGCTACCATGTTATATTTATTTTTCATATCTGTTAATGTAATTTACAATTTATATAGTAATATAAGTGTATAATACAGTAAAAACTGAGGGAAAAAAAAAAAAAAAAACTGAAGTATCTTTATTTTTTCTTTGCCTTCCTCCTAAATTTTCATTTATGATGAAGATTGAATTTTCTGTTTTCTCAATGAAATCAACCAGGTTTAAGTATCAGATAAAAAATATTTCATTAAAAAAATAATACTGTTATTCTGTTCTGAAATCTCGTAATGTGCATTTGCATGTTATATGAATAATATTGATACACAGATATTTTTACTTGAATTTGTTGTACTTATTTAATATGCAGATCCACTCATTTTTCATACAGTAATATAGTTTTTTAAATTTAAATAACCCATTAAAAATATTCTAATATTGTAAAATGTGAACTTTATAAATATGGTTTTTTTTTTTTTTTTTAATTTCAGCAAACAGTTAAGATAATAAAGGAAGAAGCAGTTAAAAATTAAAGAATTGCATTAAAAAATAGACACACAATGAAGTCTATTATAACCATTCAAATATGTTGCAAATGTTTAAATCATATTTTTGCTTTTACAAAGCTTAGAAAGCTGAACTGTTGATTACATTGTTTATAGTAAACTGAACTGTTGATTAAATTGTTTAATAGTAAATTGAATTGTTGATTTTACAAAGCTGAACTGTTGATTAAATATCTTTTTCTGTAAAGTTCCAAAATGTCCTTCTTCCCTCCAAAGTAAAACAAGTTTCACCATGCTAGAACAAGGCATTTGCCTTATTAAAATTATGAATTAAATAAATAAAATCTACAAAACTAAAATATTTCTTCTTTCTTTCTTTCTTTTTTTTTTTTTTTTTTTTTTTTTTTTTTTTTTAAGCATAGAAAGTTTTATGTTTATTTGGTGTTTTGTTCTAAAGTCTTTTACTTATTTATTTTTAGGTTAAAAAGCCGAAACCCAAGCAGAAGCCTCCTTTGGTTTATAAAATACCGGAAACAAATGAAATGGTGTATTCAGTGAAGAAAATATTTAACAAAATAAAACAAATTTTAAGTAATTTAAAGGTAAGTTATTAATGAAAGAGTTATGTACACTGATAGAGATTTTGTTACTATTAAATCAGGGGATCCTAACTTGGAAGCAATTCCCGTTTTTTCAAAGAAAGAAATGTAATAATTTCTTGATCATTTAGCCTCAAATTGGTTTATTAAGATCTAACAGTGAAGAAAAGAAACCTATCCTGATTATAAGAATTGTGGTATTCCTAGTATTTTAAGGACTTTTAATTTCATACTTACCAGTTTGTAATTTCATATAATGTTATATTTTAGTAAAACAAAACATTCATGTTTTACACTAGTTTGAAAACAGAATATTCTTTAAAAATGAAATATTTAACATTGTCCTTAAATCTTTTGTTTTTCTATAGTTGACAAAATATACATAATGCATGATTATTTATCTAATCTAAAAAAAAAAAAAAAAAAAAAAAAAAAAAAAAAAATCTGCCATTTGACAATGTTTTAAGCTGTGATAAAAGAAAAAAAAAAACATTAAATGAATCTTCAAACTACTGGCCACAATAAGCAAATGCCATTCTCTTAAACTTAGAATTATTAAAATACCTATAAATACTTAAATAATAATTAATTACTCTCTAAAACTTAAAATGATTAAAATACCTATAATTACCGTGATTAAAATGCAGTAAGTAACACTTAATCTGATATGGAATAAAGCTGCAAAAATTTGTATTATATATCACATTGAGTATCATTATTAATGTTATGATTCAAATACTGTTATTGAATTGCCAAAGCTCTACCTATTTGTATATGAAAACATGGAAAATACATTGCTTATTGTGATCAACAAATCGGCTAATGTTATCATAATATTATAGAATGAGTTATTTAATTTGAAGCAAAATCACCAAATAAAAGATAAAATTGCTAAACAAAATCAAAATGGAATATAGAAATTGTCAATTGGCAAAGACATGTTGCCAAGCATTTTGTGATTTAAAGAATTTATTTGATTTTGATTTAAAAGAACTTCTTTCCAAGTTTTAAAAAGATTGATTGGATTATATAGTTTAACAAAGTGCAATTTCCAAAAATGAGTCAATGAACTACTGCTGTTGAGTTAAATATTTCTCAATCCCTCTTATACAGGATTTGAAGTATCATGAAGATATTCTTTGTAAATGAAGTAAAATCAAAATGAAAACATGAAATGGATGTTTAGCAGAAAAGATCACAGTATTAAGAAAAAATTAAAGATTTGGTTTGCATATGTTCATGAAAAAAGATATGGCAGAAAGCTCAAGAATTAGCCATGAAAATTGGATGATTTTGTTGTAACGGATAGCTGATTTAGTTAAAAGAAAAGAGAAAATGCTCTTCATAGGTGCATTCATAGTGAAGAAAAAGATGCTGATTTACCTGCTGCGAAAAAATGGTTGTAAAATGAATGGCCTAAACCAGGCCTTGGCAACCCATGACCGATGGGTCAGTGGTTGACCTGTTTTAAAATTTTAAGTGGCCTACTTGAGTTCAGGAAATAAAATATAATATATTAAAATAAATTATAAAACATAAATATGAAATGAGCGTTTGAAAAAATACATAAAAAATGAGCCGAAAATAAATAATAATTTTTTTATTACAAATTTGCAGCAAGAAACGTGTTTTTTTTTTTTTAATCTGATGTGGACACCATATGACTTCTTTGTACACTTATTATGCATCTTTTTTTAGTCCAAAGGAGCTTTGTTCCTGATGGACTATTGTTTTCATTTTGAGTTGAAAAGGCTGTATGACTTTTCAAATCGTTGCCACCAAATACTATCGCCCTGATTATATTTGAAGAAATTAAATAATGAAGAATCTGCATAAACGTATGTATGTTTCTCGCATTGTTATAAAACAGCGTTACCTAGAGCCATCTAATTTTGAATGACGTAATCCTGCTGCAAATATGGGCATCTGAAAGCCCAAGTTTGAAATTTGTTTTATTATCGATTTCATGTTTTGTAAAACTTTAACGAATTTTTGATTAACAAACTCAACGATTTAAAAGCAAGCAATGGCAACACTACGGGGGGGGGGGAACCTTTTTTATATTTTTAAAAACCAATATGCGGAACTGTGTATTGGAAATTCTAAAGATATGCTCATTACATGATATTTAATAAATAAAAGTAACACACAAAATGTTAAAAAAATGCAAATTTGGATGTAATTTAAAATCTGAAACCTTTCAGATTTTTTTTTCTGCACTTCATTTAAATTAATTTAATATGGAAGAGACATACATACTTCCAATTGAAAGTTCCCTTTTAGCACTGTTGATTGCAATAAAAAGGAAAGGTGTAAAGCTAGATGTTATAGCAGTCCCTTATACAAAATTTCAACATTCTATGGCCAATCATTTTTGAGTTATGTGAGATATGCGTGTCAGAATGTAAGTATAGACATCACACCGAAAGTAGTCAGAAGTCCCAAATACAAAATGTGAACACTCTGGGGCGAACCTTTTTTGAATTATGCAATAATGTACGTAAAGATGTCATGGTACATCTACTCAAAATGGTTATTTCCGTTGAAATCTGAAAAATGGAATTTTTTGTGATTGCAATACATTTTTTACTTCGTACAAAGAAGCAAAAATAAAAATTTTAACATAATTTCAAAGAGAAATCAGTGAGTTTTGCAACATCAATCCATGATTCCAAAAATTTGCCATTTTTTCTCACTCGGTTCAACCTATTAATGTGAACATACATTTTTAGGTATGAAATTTATTTTAAGTAAGAACATGAGCATTTTAACAATGAAAATTGAGATGTTTGTGTTCTTTTAAGACGACTAACTATAAGCCAGACTTGACTAAATTGACATCACAAGTCCAGCATCAATCGGTCCATTTATATTGAAGAGAAAAATAAAATTAATTCAGTTATGTTTCTTTTTATAAAGTATAAAGCATATTGCAATTATTTTCTGAATAAAATGTATCTTATTATTCATCAAGAAAGACCATTCTAAAATTTAACTACCACTGACCTGACACATCTTCTCAATACACACATTTTGGTTGATTTTGACTCACAGCTAAAAACAGTTGCTGATGCCTGGCCTAAACTATCATTGAATTGCTGTCCTGAATACATTTATAATGCCAATGAGCCAGTTTATGGTGCATTACCTCAACATATTACATATTTATTTAAAACTGGAAGTTGAAGAAGTATTAAACATTGAATGCTGCGTCATTAGATGTGGTGAAGAAAAGACTATTAGTAACTGGGAAAACAAAAACAGAAAATCTTTGATACCTCAAAGAACTAAAGAGTTTACAGGTAAATTCTAAGTATAATTCAAAGATGTGGATGATGTAAGTAATTTTTAATGAATGATTTTTGAAATAGGATTATGAACTAAGTGATAGCCTTTTTTTATTGGCAACTGCACAGCTCGTAATATATAGGTCTCTTTTAGAAACATTGAAATTGCATATTTACCAGCAAGTACTACAACAACCAAAATTCAGTCATGTGATCAGGGGATTATTAGAGAGATGAAAGAACATTTTCACTGTGAAATAAGTGTTCAAGTCCTTTATAACATAGATTATATGTATATAAATGGAAATTAATTACCAAGGAAGACTAGCCTTCTTGATGTACTTGTGACTGCATATCTTGGAACTGCATCTCAGAAAAAATAACAGAGAACTGATTTAAGCATTCCAGTCTTTTAATAAATGATGAAATAGAGGAAGTTGAAGAACTTAAAGCAATATCTAAAAATAACATGGAATTTGAGGGATTTAACACTTGATATTGATGAAAAAATATAGATTTGCAGCATCAGTGACAGATTTTTCCGGATTATGGATCATCAATTTAAATCTGGTAAGATGGCATGCAGAAATTATAAAATTAAAAATATGAAACCGTAATTTATGAAATAAAGAGCAATCATGATCTAAGGGGGTAAAGGGTATCAAAATTTACAAAAAAAAAACTTTATATTTATTTGTTTACTTTATTAAACATTTCTTTCAACGCGCGCATGCATAAAGCATACATTACGCATAGTCGAAATTAGAAAATTGCAACTAGAAAACTATTTGATGTGTATTCGTGATATTTATAATGACGAATTTGATTTAATTCATATCAAAGACAGAGTACATCAAGATGAAATACTACATTTAGTAAGGAATTATAAGCCGAATAAAATAAAAACATCTGCCCTGAAGATAAAGATAGTGCTGACAGATCAACTTCCAGTTCATTGTCTGCTGCGACGTCCCCCCCCCCCCACACGCACACACAGAGCAGCGTGAAATTGATAAACAGATTTCAGAATGGTTAGAGAAACAAAGGATATGCCTTTATCCATTTTTCGCAGCAATTCCACTTTTTGTTTGATGGACATCAAAACATGCTTTTGCTTTGTAGATCCTTTGGCAGCTCCAGAATCGGAAATTCTTTTTTACATAATCGAAAGTTAAAGCTTACTTTTATAAAATTGCTCTGACAATCTGCAAAAAAATAATAAGCCAGATCCAATTCGAAGATTAACCCCTTCGCGCTGGGTAGCGCTAACGCGCGCTTATCGCGGAGGCCGGCAGAGTCTTACGCGAGCGTCTGTCCAGGGCCGGGGGCTTTTTTGCTCTTAAGCTTAAATCCATGAAATTTCCAAAGTATCAATGCATTCTTTAATAATGCTCTATAGAGTATTTAAATGGCTTATGCTTTATAGATATTTTTATATATACTTTAATTAACTTATTTCTTGTTTAAATGCATATTTTACACATTTTATTTTCATTACTCACCATTTTATGACTTTTAACATTATACATCTGAAAACTAAATATATTAGTTAAAATTCTCTTTTCTAATGAAAAATTTGAAAACAGGGATCTACACACAGTCCTACGTTACATTCCTTGCACTCATAATAACTCATTTGCCGTTTTGGAGGATTTTTCCGGGAATGTGAACAAACGAAGCATCATCGTCTTATTTTCTTACCAGTCTCTTCTGAAC